GTCAAGTGGTCTGGTGCACCTGCAACTCACCTAGTGGTTTCACTTTCTCATACAATTTTCTCCAAACTCATTAACCATATTTAAAAGATTCCTTTTTTAATTTTGTAGAACAATAATTGGTAAAATAGGTAGTAATTTAAAACCACCCAGGGGGCCAGGAAAAAAAACAAATTTCATTTTTTTTAAATGTCTAAATTCTTATCACAATTTTTAGCTTTTGCCAAAGATTAAGGAGATTTTTAATCTGTATGGGGAATTAATTATTGGGCAAGTGTGTATTGTGTCCGATAATTTGAATTTTTACTCTCATTCAGATAACTTCTATGAAATTAAGATATCGAACCCGGACCAACATGAAAAATTCTTAAAAATGATGCAGTTTTGAAATCCAAAATAAAAAATGGAGATCTAATTTTAAAAAACGTAGGCCGTTTTTTTGTCTCAAAAAAACTATAAACCAAAAAGTTATATCTGAAACCGATAAAACATCTAACAACTAGATTTCATAACGAAAATTGTAAAAAATGATTTATCACAATCGGACCAAAATTAAGAAAATTAAGAGGGTAGGCATCACGGCCACAAGCGCATGTTTCCAAGGGGAGAGCGTGAAAAATCTTTGTGTTATCTTTTTCTCTTAATTGTAATTTGAAAACCTGACTACCATCGAGAGGTTAGCAAGTTAAGAAAACGGAATACAAAATATGAAAAATGAGAGTCAGTGTCAAAATGCTCGGAAAAAATAAGAATTTCCCGTTTAAAGGGCAGAGTGCCCGCGATGACCACTTGATGTGGATAAATAATTCATACTCCTACTAATATTAGATAGATACATGGATAGGTAGTCAAAATATTTTATAATTACATTACAGGTATGCTGCGACACCATGCACTCAATCTCTAAGTAAATTATTTTATCAGCTCTTGCCTATATTCCAGAGCTTTATTCGTATCTAACAAGCAACGACCATCATTGGTATCATTCATGATATCTATACATTCTTAACTTATTACCTCACAAGTTGTGAAATTCGGAATCCTTTTAGAATTGTATATTTAAACAGAAAATGAAAGTGGTCTTCAGGGACCTTCTCATTATACACGAATCACAGTTTTTCAACTCCCAAACGCCACGGTTTATAATTCAAATTCAACAATTCCTCTCTGACCGTTCTCATGGACAATTGAGACAGAAGACTACCAACTGTCTTTTTTTTCAAAATATTTTCTTGTGGTTAATAAATTTCTCTACATTTTTGAATATTCTTCTTTGTATCTGATTCTTGTATAAACGTACTTGGCGTGACATTTGGGAGTTTCGGGATAACTCAGAATCTGCATGGAAAATGTACTGGTTTCTAACTATATCCAGCAGGAGGAGGGTTTATTTTATACGTCATATGTACATCAAATAATTGAGGGTTGATAGGGCCTCTGCTGTTGCGAACCCTCGATAAAAAATAAAATAAATACGCCATCATAATTTGTACTAACTCCTTGTTATTACATTTATTGGATATTTACTATTATTAATATTGTATTAAGTAAATATGTTTATACTTGTTGAATTTCTCATTTGAGTCATTTGTAGGAGAATTTGCCCAGTGGCAACACTCCTTCACACTGAAATCTTTTCAATTTTCACTCAATGAGAAGGTCTCAGGGCCATTTTCGCTTCAATGTTTTTTCATGTCTAACCATCCTTAACCATTGAAAACTAACATAATGATTAATTTGATAAAAAATCCGCTTTAGCTTTATTATATTACTATCTATCTATAAACATAAGCGGAAGAGATATAAAAGCCGCATTGAGAGTTTATTTGTTAATTAAAATTTAATGTTTTGTTTATTTACAATATAATTTATTTTTATTTTTATATTTATTAAATTTCGTGGTCCGCTTGACCAAATAAATTCTTTTCAATTAATTATTTTTTAATTTAGGTTTTGGTTGAGATAAAAAAGTCAGTGTCATAAGCGGGATTCGAACCCACGACCTTCGGCTAAATAAGCCTACCGCTTGAGCTATCGCGACTTAGACCCACTCGGACACCTACTTCCCATCTCAACACACATAGAATAAAGGCAAAACGGAGGGAAAATTCAAAAGTTGGGGTTAAGATTAATTAATTTACAATATAATATTCAAACTGTAATCAGAATAATTTGTTTTTTGTTGTTATTTTTCTGTTTCTTTAAATTTTTGATTACTCCTCTTAATTATAGCACTTCCTACTGGTAATCAACGTAGAAATTCAATTCGGATCATTGAAAAAGGATCGCGCTTATCACCCTTTCGTAGCCCATGAGCAATTCAGCCATCCGGGCACAATCGTGTTAAGTGAACAGTGGTAAAACCAGAAGGTATTTCAGACCACTTGCGGGTGACAATTTACTTGCGGCCTTTTACTTTTATATATGGCGAATTGGGGCGGGTTTAGCTGTTTAAAACGGACTTAAGCTAGACGAATATAAACTACGTTAAATTCCACATTCTTAAAACCTTTCATTTAATTATTCTGTTTTATAATGAAAAAATTCGAAAACATTGTCAAGTAATGAATAATATGATTTATCAATTTAGTGAATAAACCAGAGTTTGATTATATTTGTTTGATAAAGCAGAAATCGTTAATATAACCTCGAGCCCAATGATAACAACTGCTAACCTGAAGCAGGACTTTAGACCGACTTAACCGCTATTGTTTTCTGCTTGATCAGAAAGTCAATCGAACATAAGGCACAACCATTCGCGGAATTTCATTAGGTGCTTATTAAATGACTGGAATCGTGACATTCCTTTTGCTATTGAATTTAAACACATTTTGAAAAATTTAAAGTGGTCTTTAGCCGTTAACCCTCCTGTGTGGCAGTAAAATTAAACAATTTAAACAATTTTTACTTTTACGAGTGAATGTTTGATTTAAATTTAAAAATATTAAATCCATTATATTTCGTGGTCCGATTGACCAAATAACTTCTTTCAATTAATTAATCTTTATGTAAGGTATTGGTTGAAATGAAAAAGTTAGTGTCACCCAGCCGAAGGTCGACTATTGTCATCTAACGCTAGATCCCGGCGCACAGTAGCCGAAGAAGTGAAAAAGCAGACATAATGCTCATTTTTCATTACGCTAAGCAATGTCAAATTTTAGTATATGATATAGATATATATATTTACAGTTTCTTAATGTTTTATTTCGGTTTTCCCGCTTTAGGGATATATAAAATGACAGAGAAATTTTCACGTATCAATAACATTATTATAATATAACATTAATATAACAATAACATGATTTAGAATAGGCCATGCGAAGTTGACACTCGATCACTTACTTTCGGGCCAAGGCCCGCGTATGTGACCGACGTGCAGAGAAAAGTTACTAGACGTGTCCCACCTAATTGAAGGATGCAATTTCTTGGCTCCAAACAGAGAGCGAGCAGGAATGCCGCTTAATTTGAGAATTGTGCTTGAGTACTGCAGCTAGTGTTTAGGTCCCTTGTTCCGATTCTTTGAGGACACGGGATTGTTCTATTGTATTTAGTAATAATAGTTGTGTACACCTACCTTATCTTGAGAGTGAATGTATTTATTAGCTTGAATGTACTTATTAGCGTTAATGTATGATGTGAGAGAGTTTATAGTGGGTTCTTCTCGAGCCTGCCTACAATTTACTGTAAATAGCAAAAGCTGGAATTGCCAGTGGATAATGAATAGCCTCAACTCGGCACATGTTTATACATATATGTGCAGATTTGAGCATGTATAATTCAAAATCCGAGTGAAGGGGGTTTATGAACAGACAATTGAGTTGGGGGTCTTAAAAGTACACGGGGAATATTTTCTTATGATTAAACGACCTGAATCCACGATATGAAATCAAGGGATTCTGAGACCATTTTACAGAGCGCTACGAAAATTTATAGCCCTCAAGGAGATAAGTTCTTATTGAAAAATGAGGACAAATTTGGCTCCGTTTCACAAAGCAGTATTTTTAGTTTTTACACAATTATAATTTTAACTGTTTTTTTCTTTAAAAATCACAATTTTAATTTGGACTGGTTTTTCTTAAAAAATTACTTTGCCATTTTGCTGGAAGATTAATATCTAAGACGTTAATACGGGAAATCACTTTTTTACCCTTTGGTTACTATTTTCATTTCTTACAAATACAATCAAGGAAAGTTGCCAAATTTGTTGAACTGCAGATCTTCTGGCTTCATCCGAATCTCTGAATGTAACTGTCAATAATGTTTAATGAGATGTCTACATCAGTAATAAATAAATAGTAGCAGCCGACTTTTTAATGTTTTATAAAAATATTAGTTTGTCTTTTCTGTAAGTTGTTTTTATTCACTTTGTCGGTATTTTTATCAAAAAATTATAAGTAAAATCAAATAGTATTTATAATATGTGGTGTTATACATGTTATGTTGTAATGTGGTTCTTTGTCTAAGGAAAATGAAATATATAAGAGGTTCTTTCCTAAGAATAAGATGAAAGAAGTAAATATTCAATAAAACAAAGATACATATCACCAGAATTGCAATCGCGAAACGTTTTGAAAGGTTAGAAATAAACTACATTACATTAAAATGAATCTAGACATAACTTTATTAGAGGAAGATGCGATGTTTAGTTTGTATATAGATTTCATGGGCATCATCTTAGATTGGAAAACGTGGTGAATTTTTTAGCAGGGGGCATGGCATTATTTGTGACTAGAAGTGGTTTGAATTAAATTATCATTTCTGTAAGAATTTTGTTATCGGAAATGATTTTTTTTGTTATATTTTTCAAATGAAAAATCCCCATTTTTTCTGAAAAGCAATTGAAAAGCAAGTTTCAATTCAAATGATAACATATGTGAGTACAAAATTGCAAGTGTAAGAACAATTTTTTTACGATAGTTCGCAACAGCAGAGGTCCCCATGTATGTCGGGTTCGAATGGAAGGGCCGCTCGATTCGAACCCTGGACCTTACAATGATGAGCACCGTGTCAACGCCTAAACCGTTGCGGCCATTGATGTTCCCGGTAAACAACATTTATTTGCTCACTGTTGAAAGTAATGATAAATTGCGGTACCCTGTATATTATCGTTAATGTATTGTACTTGTAACCGTAAACAGTTAAGCTCACAAGTCGCTAGAGCAAGAAATAAATCTCTACGAAAATTCGGATGGCAGCTCGATCGCACAACCCGGTTTTGAAGATTTTTTGTTTCTCTCTCTCAGATGTCTATAGATTTATAAAACCCAAAGAGAAAATAAATTTCGTTATTAGTATTATTATTGTGTAATTAATTAGGAAAACTAACATGTTATTCTCTTAATATAGTATATATACAATTTTAGCATGTGATATAACTTTTTAGAGTCTGTTAATCTTAAATAAATTGACAAAGCGTACAACAATGTGAGAAGAGTCAAACTAGTTTGACAATTTAATTTATGCTATCTCTCCGTTCATGGGCGTTTATGAACGCGGCAAAACGGCAATCGAGTAGGGGTCTTAAAGGAACGCGGGAAATAGCAAGTTTGCAGGCATTAATTTAAGAGATACGGCGACAGGCTTAGGAAAATTCCCTTTAGCGCCAAATTCAGGAATTCCTCCATGTATCCGGTGAGAATGAGGCTGGTATTATATATCCGGCGTAAGCCTTGCATGTATTCACACCGAGCTATATTGTTCCGTGGGTGTTTGTGCATCTCTGCCTGTTCGTCTAGAAGAAAAGTTAATCGCAATTTCTTCTCTAGAGGAGATTCCTCCCAGCGTAAAAACAAAGAACAACATGGAAAGAAAACACCGCGAAATTAACAAAATGTAACGATAATAAAACGTTACAAATAATTAAGAAGAATATTGGAGAAGTATCCTGGAAATTGGGGAACGACGGGCTACAAAAAATAAAGTTCATTGCGACCGAGCCTGAAGTCCTAAAAAATCCAACAGGATCTAGGAAGTTGTGGAAATATCGATAAAAATTTGAAAGATCCGGCTGTTCAGAAGAAAGATAATTTGGATTTCAGGTGATGAGCATAAAAGATTCTAAAAACGTTAGAGTACATATTTTAATATTGAATTTTTGATTATTATTTCTATTTAATTTATTCTGGCTAAATCCTATTATCTTTGCTTTAAACAATTATATTTGTAGAGATTTTTTTATATTTTGTTTTATTGTAATTGAATTTAATTGTGTTTAAAGTTTTCCCAATTGTAATTATTGTGCACATATATATAAGATATTTTTTAAAAATCTTTAATTAGCTATTCTCCCATTCTTAATAAAAGTCCTATTTCCCGTATTCCATAGATTGTAAGTTCAATTTTCAAATTGGTTTTTCAGAGTATAAGATCTTTTTCTGAAATCGCAAATGTATATAATAAAAAAAATATATTTTCATGATTTAAGACAACTGTGAATATTTTTAAAAAGTACCCCATTTATTTCGTACCAAAACTACATAAAGTTGATCGCCTAATCTACGATTCAAAAAAAATCACCACGAAAGACACAACAAGTAAAAAACCCAGTGTTTAGCTGGTGTGAATAATATTTCTATATTTAGCAGTGAACTGTTATTTTCATTTAAAGAAGGCATCAGAAATGTGGTTAATATAAGAGAATAATTTAGTATGTTAAGATAAGGTTAAATATTTTTTGAAGTCATTTTGTAGCAAAACTATTGAAGATTTGACATTCTAGTGTAATACATTTATATTAAAATGTTCGCCCATTTTTACTAAAATTTATCGTTTTTCTTATTTAATTAATTTTCTTCATTCACTGAAAAATTTTAAAATACATCTGACTTGAAGAATCCGTCTCATTTACCAATGGTAAAATAACCTCAATTTTTTTTGCCTTATGGTCTAGCATATTGGCCAGAACCTTAAATCTCAAAACAAGTAAAAAACATGACCACTTTCGTAGGGATTTTTCGTTTTACGATAGGTCCAATATTCAATTAGATACATTACTTGGTAAGCATTTTTTTTGTGTAGCAATTACCAAATCAAAGTACAACAAATAAATATTAATAGGATCCATGTCAATAAAAATGTTTACAGGTGTAGAGAAAATATTTTGGTCTGTCAGATTTTCCTTCTGACTAAACACTACTTGGCATAGCTAATCGTACTACTAGTCAAAAACAAGTTTATTAAAATACAATTTTGGACCTTTTGATTTTTTTAAAGCCACAGTTTTCTTGGTTATTACTTCTCATGTAAACAAGAGCTTGTTATAATTAGGGTTGAAACTATAATGTGTACCAAATGCCTAATACTAATCCAATTTTTTTTCCTTTCAAATATTACTAAATGAGATATAACTATTTCTAGGGGGTACAGAGGTTAGAAATTAAACGGGTTGGATTTTCTTCGACATGAAAATAAAAGTTAAAAATTTGAAACTTTTCTCATTTCACTCACTGCCAACCAGTTCGTTAGAAATTTAATCAGTTTGCCGAAATAAATTGTGGCCGAGGGTGAACTTATGTGAAAATATGGGGCTCGTTAGCCGACAGCACTAGTAAGTCATTAGTTGCAATTTTCCCCCGGCGCGGCGTGCCATTAAATTTTAACGGCAAAGCAAAGCACGCGTCTCGAAATTGTTGAAAACTTTGTCGCCCTGTACGTGCCGTTAGTTTCTCAGTGCAAAGCCCAAAGGGGCTCTTTTGTATTCGAGGTTTAGTTGGTTTAAAAGTCTGTTGGAAGGAACCACATGAATGCCCCTATCATCCGACTAATCTACGCAACTATTAATCATTCCGGGCGTTTTACCCCTCAAACCTAAAGCTAGATCTATTATATCAAACTTTATAATTTTCCTACTATTTTACCTGCCCAAGGATTTAACAGAAAGATTTACACTATTGGATTAATAAATAGATCCCAATACTTGTATTCTTCACTATTGAGTTTCTGTAATTTCATTTTCAAATTTATCCAAAATTATGGTACTGAAAATTTCATTAATGTTGTGCATATTTTATATGTAAATAAAAAAAATTATTAAGTATCACTATAGTTATAGGTACATATCGACAAACTTTCCAACTCTTCTGGCCCATTTATGAAATGTTTAAATTCTTATGAAATATTTCGCTCAAAATTTATATTTCATTCTGTACTGTATTTTTTTAAATTAAAAAATGTTTTGTAATTCATCCAGGCTCTGAGGATGACCCGAATAAAGTTCTAAACGTCTACAAAAATGAAAAACGTGTTTTTCTAAACGACCTCATTCGTGACCTCACGAATCCAACAAATTATTAAACAACCGGTCACTAAAAAATACCCTTTACTTATTCATATTTTTTATAAATAAGGTTTATTCAAATAACAAGAGATGAGCTTGTGTGACAGATTGTTTTTTGATTTGGTCATTACGCTTAATATTTCAATATCACTATAGAAAAAATGATATATTATTAACCCTTTATAGAAACTGTACTCATATAAAGCAAAATTCTTCTTTTTGTCCGAATTCAACATTTGGTGTTGAATAACTGAATGATAAAAAGATAAAGCCCCAAGTCATTCCATGGTGGTCAATCACAGGTAGGTCATGTTCACATTTTGAGAGGTTGTCATCTTAAATTTGTCGACAAGTGGAAATGTTATTTTCCACCGAAAGTAATTTCGTAAGAGGGATTGGGAAGATGTGAAAAGAAGGTGGGGGGAGTCCAGATAAGTTGGAAGCGGAATGGATGTTGTGTTGGGCTAGGTAAGAAATCACCAAGGTGACGCAGCCGCTGGAGCGAGCCCTAGGAAGAATTATGGTGTCCGTGTCCACTCTTTTATTTGTCTTATCGGCAATCACCTGTACAGACCATTGGTCACAATCCAACGGGAAAACTGACCTAACTTTATCTCATTTCTTTGCCCATTCCGGCTGCCTTTTTTTCCCTTTCACTTTCACACTTGGAAAACAAAGTTTCGACTTGAAGATTGAGAAATGAATCGGTCTTTTTTTTAAAGAATTTAAGGTTTAGATTTTATAGAATACATTAATCAGTTACAAATTAAAATTAAAATTAAAACCACTTTATTTACGAAAATGTAGAATTAGAATAAAGTTATTTTAACGCCTTATAAATATTTATCATAAATATCTATATTGTAAGAATTTGATGAGGTATACAGGTATCAGGTGACGTTAATCATCAGTCGTTTACAAAAATGCATTGGGTAGTCAAAACAAAGGGAAAGGAATCTTATTTTTTGCGTGAATATATGTGTACATTTTACATTTACATTGGCAGGTAAAAAATTCCACCCACGTGTAATATAAGTTGATTTGTATATATTTTTATATTTAATCAAAGTTCCACGTCTTTTAAAGTTTAATAATTGAGTCTTTTTCTAAAAAAGTGTAAAAAAATGTAAGTTACTAAGAAAATAAAAAATTATATAAAACATTTTAAAAAAAGATAGATAAAATTTGGATTTTTAATTAACATTTCAATATCGCGTGTTTCCTTCTCTTGCCTTAATTACATCTCGAAGACGCCTCGGCATACTTTCTACCAATCTGGAAATGTCTCTTTTCTGGAGGTTAGCGCATTCTTCACAAAGAGACCTTTCAAGATCGTAGAGCGTATCAGGAAATGATTGACGTGATCTTATTCGTCTTTTGAGGTTATCCCATAAATTTTCGATGGGTTCAAGTCTGAACAATGGGCTGGTCAGGCTATGACCCTGATGTTATGCTCTTGAAGGTTCGTTTCTACTATGCGAGCGACATGTGGACGGATATTATCATGCTTTAAAATAGGATTGTCGCTAATTTCATCGAGGATAGGCAACGCATGATGTTCCATCATTTCATCCACATAGCGAGTGGACGTCAAAGACCCTTCTCTAACAACTGAGAAAAATTATAGGCTTTGTACCTTTCATTTCGCCTTATCCACACTCTGTTTCGCCCATTTGGAGATCGTAGAGCAAATCTACACTCGTCTATAAAAAGTACAGCAGACCGAGCAAATCGGAGCCGTGCAACTCTGTGCGTTCTGGTCAATTCTGGTCCTCTTACGGGGTGAAAAGCCATCAGTCCAAACTGATTTAATCCTCTTCGAGTAGTGCGTTCAGAAATTTGGACACCTCGAACTTCCTGGAGCTGATGTATTGCTTGAACAACGGTAAGGCGCCGGTTTCGTAAAACTCTCAAAGTCATCCTGTGGTTCTGTTTAGGGCGTCCAGAACCGGGCCTTCTATCGTAGGACCAGTATCTCAAAAAAGACTAACGGCCTTTCGCAGTGTTTCTTATGGAACT